ACTTCGGCGAGGCCAGTGACGGAGCTCCGTCTCGAAGCGGCTTGCATATTTGTCGTAATTTCCAGATGAACTGACTATCATACAAGTTGTCCGCAGCATCCATGGCAAACCCCGGACGACATTGTGTCTTTATAAATCGTGCTCGAACCCCAGGTGAGTGGGGGCCAGCATCCCCACAACCCCGTATATGGAGAGACGCTTGTCCATAAAGAGTAAAATTGGCGGAGAAATGAAGGAGTTTGTTGCCAGTACTATTGCCACTGATTTAAGTAGAGCAATATGTCCTTTCATTGACTCTGGACGACTGCACCATGCGATGTACCCGGGGCGCAACATGTGGCCGAGCAGATCGCAGAAACAGGCACTAACCAGCAAAGTTACATGGGACGATGACATGCATATCCAGGTCTGGGGAAAGATATTTTTACTTATTTGACAGGGAGTTTCTTTCCCAAATAGGAAAACTTGGCGAACCAGAAGAATGTCCATATTGTAGGAATGTTGACCCTTCTTGCATCGTCTCCACTTTTCTTCCTGTTCAGAGCTAGTATGCGAAGTCAGACTAGAACATATAGTCTTAAGGCTATGGTCCGGGGAATCTAGACGCTATGACGAATGCGTTTCCAATATCATAAGGTCGAACCGGGTGCCCTGATAATTTTCACATATCAAAGGGTAGTGCTAATGTACCGGAGATATTGTACCTAGGGACTTTTAGCTATCTGTGTCGTCATCGGTAACCTTCTAAAGATCATATCATGAATCACTGCACCTTTTGTCTGGCCTTTGTAGGAAGAGAGTCTCAGCGTGACTAGGTACTGATTTTACTCAGACCGTACACCCTTACACAGTGGGCGGGCAAGAAATACACACATAAAATAAGCCTTGCTCAAATGAAGTGTATATGTATCTCTACATACCTCGATATTTATAAAGAGCTTCCCTGCAACGATATGACGCTGTAAGTGCGAATCACAGTGAAGAGCTCCTCGCGTGGGTAGGGATAGTATGTCTCTTTGCGATGAATATTATTTTGGATTCCTAAAAGGGGTGGGCTTGGTCGATGGCTTAGACAAATATATACTCATAGACTTCTTGCTCCAGTTGGTATTTTATACATATTTTCCCTGAATTTCTCTGTACATTAACCGGGATAATGAAATGAGAAATTACAACACAGATGAGAACGTGCTTTACTTCTGGCTAAGAGTTGATACCTTAGTGGAGACTTTCCGAGAGTAGATTCTGGCCCGCATGTACACTTTGCCTCTCCCACGAGGGCTTCATACTCGATTAAGGGACGCATTCGAAGATAGTTTCCTAACATAGAAGAGTATTTACTTAATTCACTTTCAGACAAAAATATTACCTAACTGCAATTTACGTAGCGTCATGTACAGAGTGGCCTAGATTCGGCATCAGCAATGTGATCGGCCAAGGACCATTCGGGATATGTAGAAACAAAAAAAGAAAAGGAGAAAGAGAAAAGAAAAAAAAGCCTGTAGAATTATAGACGATGTTCCATGCAACCTGTCTCCTCCTTTTCTCTGTGTATATACACTTTTTTTTCTCTTTTTAGTCTTCTAATTTTATTTTATTTTATTTTTTTTTTGTAGTCTCTTCCCCCGAATTGAGCTTCCGGACGAGTACCCGTGACGGGACGAATTGATGAGATTTATCTCTGTCAACCAATTAGATTTGTCCATGAGGGGCCACTATCCTGCAATATGGACGTCACTACTAGTACCTTTAGTTGTTTTAAACCTACGCACTCCATAACAACGAGCTATGTAGATTATCCCAGGGCATTCTGGATCGTCGATCCAGCATTATTCTGGCTTTTTAGTCTAGTGGATAGTCTTGTGAATTATAATGCCCTAGTTGCCTCTCTTACAACTACTAGTATACTTGATTTAAATAAGGTAGTGATGGGCGCTTCACTTGTTCGTGGGCCTCGTATCACAACGGTGACACTAACTCTGTTTTCTAATAATGCTCCAACTATCTATTGGGATATTTACAAATTACATTCATAGGAGATTTATAAAAGACCTTGAGAAGAGCTTAGAAGGACAATAGATTTGATGATGAGCTATCTATTCGAGGCTGAGAGCTTTTCAAGATAAAGAAATATTATATTTTCGATATAATGTCTGTACAAGGCTCCTGGAAGTTGATATCACTGCTCGAGTATTAATAACTTATTAATACAAGTTACGGATAATACGGCAGCAGGGTCACAAAAGATTCTCAGTTTAACTACTAGATAGGCGCACACTGGCCTCTCTATTCAGACGTACAACATTTATATTAGTTCAGCATACGGAGATTCGACGTGCTATGTACATTTGCACCATCTTAGACTTGAAGAACAGGCAGTCTCGTGCTTACTGGGGACTTTAATGCATGGCATTGGAGTCGAAGCTGCATACGGAACTTAGACCTTCAATAAAAAGCTTGTAGAGATTCAATACAAATCCATAAAAGTTGAATACATGGTCATAGTAATTCAAAATGAAGCTGCGTAGGGCTTCAATGCAAAGCTTGTAGATATTCAATATCATGTCGTAAGACTTCAACACGGAAGTGGGTGGAACTTCAATAGAAGGCTAGGAGAAATTCAATACAAAGTAGTCTATAAAGTTCCTCCCACATCCGCTTGAGTCGATCCAGGAATCATCGCACCATCACACCGATTTCATAATCTCATGATATTTGGCGTCTCGATTCTTCTGTTTCATTATCAGTATTCTAACCAGAACGCGTGTAGACCATATTTTGGCACTATGCGCTTTCCCTGCGCTTTCCCTGGAGAAACGTGCTTGTTTTTCAGAGGTTGCCCTGTACAGAGGTTAGCCCCTGCTCTTCGGTGGCATTTCTATAACAAAGTATGCACGCTACATGGTTTTGTGCTCTCCATAACTATGTCTAATATCTGCACATGATCATATGCATTAGTTGCTTGCGCTTTTGCAGCAATATTACATGCTGCATGCCTTCAATATCGAAGGCTTAAGTCCCGGCACATCTTTAGTGTATGGTTCCTCACTCTATTTGTGGGGACAATACTAGGCCCGTCAATGTTTTCAAACACACGGGCCAAATGGTAATTATTAGCTCCAGTGCACCGAATATCCGAGTTCTCTACTGATTTTGTTGATATTATAAACAGATGTACCAAATTTTTCGACTCCTGCCTGCCAATTCATCTTACTAGAACATTCTCATGTCGTCTAGTTCTCCATTTGAGAGAACGTCTTTCAAAAGCCACCGATGGGTAGAGAGCTTGAAACTACGATATAGATTTTCACGTGTTAAACCCTGAATCAGGATGGAGCTTCCTTCAATTCGAGAGCGATTCAGAAGAGGTCCACCCAGTGTCGGGCCATTTATGAGCTGCCCGCTGTCAATTAATGGTTGATATACTAGGGTTACCTGTTTGGGTGCTGTATCCGCTTCGGAGACTGATCCTAACAGGTAGGTCCTCCGCCCCCGCATGGAACGATCCGGGAGCAGGGACCCACTGTGCTACGGAATTACTATACTAACCTCACCACTACACAGAAGCGATATTCGACCAACTCTTCCAAGTCCATTATAGAGATAAATGGAAGGAAAGAAAGCGCGGAATCATCTACTCATCTACCTCACAGAAAACTTCGAGACCTCCAAGAAGCCACATGGAGAGTGTTGATCAAAATTAACACCGAATGATTTCCAGGGTGGCTTGCGGAGCTGCGAACTCGACGCGGAGATCCTGTCAGTGGGAAGAGGGGAAACTTCCTTTTCGAGGACGGGTTGGTCATCGAGATATGCGAGAACAGAATAAATAACTGGTGGGGCATATGATAGAGGGTCTATTGAAGGCTCTTTGTAGGGATGCGATTGTATCATATGTGCAATTAGGGCTAGATTTGCAGGTTACTTAATATACAAGCTCAGCCCATACAAGCCTTGCCTTTGAGACGATACGAGGTGCCATAATGGCAGTGTTGGAGTGAGTGACTATTGTGTTAACGTTGGGTCTATGAGTGCTTTTTCAATCATTGTTCTGACAAGTGAATAGCAAGTTCATTTCTCCTGACAGGGCTGGTACTCCATAACAATCAGTCCTTTTTGGTTCATTTACCGGTGCGTTATATCTGATTATACAAAAACGGGATACCGCCCAGGTCCCGAGCACATTCGATATTTGACGAAAGGGAGATGTATGTTGTAACTGCTGGGTTTTGATACTCCTTTTCTTCACTTGGGAGGGTGCCTACAGGTACTTACCCAGATATTTCACTTAAATTATAAAATTAAATAACTAGTAAAAAAAAGCATGGACAGATTTAACAGATCTGAAAGATTGAGCTAGTCAGATGATGCGATGCATGAGAAGGATCGAGACGACATACCCCGAGGATCGGCTGTTGGCGCCGGAATGTACATCCACCACCAACGATCATTGGCTATGCCCTCGGTAGTCACACAAGCCATACACCGGCGAGATGCACATTCCGCAGTCTAAAGAGAAGACGACCTAGTGCTCTTGCGGCAAACTCGAGTCTTCAATACGAGAATACGGATTATGTCCCCAGTTAAGAGTAAAATCCTGATAATACACTAGTAGTACTATAGCTGTAATATTATGCTAGAATTGAATTCATACAGAGAGACCAGAGTAAGTTGGAATATCTCGCAAAATAAGAGATATAAATTTTCTTGTGAGCAACTTCAAAAAAATGAGTACCTTTCAATTCTCGCAGTCGAAATGTACTAATCCAATTAGTGACAACGCAATGTGTAAGAAACATAATATTTGATAATTTCTCCTTATAAATGCACATCTACGCTATGTTATACAGGACATGCATGGAAACCATAATCAGGTTACTGAAGCAATAAGCTCTACAAAGTTCCTCATCCAGAGGATACAAGCCCGTGGTGACTATAAATCAATCATACGGGATTATGTCGATAGCCTGCTGAGTCTCCTGATTGATAGTTGGGGGCCCTTAAGGATGGAGCGTGTTCCAGTCCGCCATTTGCTCTTCCTTTAGCACAAAATCAGTTGGATCATACGACTGCACTTGTGTTAGTAATTTCACTTTCAACACAGTCAGTGTGCAAAACATACAGTCGTGTAGCCTCGCTTGAACGCCTCTACTTTGCGCTCTCTTTGCTCTTCAGTTAAAAATTCGATGGGCGTATAGCATATGTCTGTCCAACGTTAGGGGGTTATTTGCAACCTGCCCTAAAAGCCTGGACCAGCTATCTACAGTATCTTCATCTCTATCCTTGATCAGGGACTCAGAGCCTTGGGCAAAAGCGCGAGGTTTAGACATGGTCTGGCCGAGGTCATTACCAACAGAATCATATTTGGACTACCGTTAGCTGGGATTTTAGTGAGCAGATATTCAACTGCTTTATAATCGGATTTGGAAGTGGGCTATTTGGAAAGATATCAGGAAGCTGCTTGTCTATACGGGTCAGCTGTATTAATCTCTTGCACCTTTGTAGGCTATCTGCTACACGGTGATCAGTCATAGTCATTGTTGACGCTGCATAACTAGGACTGGCGCTGTTGTTCTTCCTAAGCGATTTTTTCCTACAGCTATGATGATAAATTCAAGCAACTGAAGTAATAGAATAGGAATTCAACCACTTTGGCTGCTTGATATAATAGCCGAACCTGCAGGGTTCCTGAAGGTGTCATTGATCCGGAGCCATTCTACAGCGATTACATTGTCATCTAAAAGAGGATTAGAAAGTAGTATCCTTATATGGTTCCGGAAGGCCTCTTTTGGACAAGCCTAGAAGTAGAGTAGGAAGGGTTCAACAGTCTCAAGTATTGTAATCCACCTGCTTGCACCCACTCGGGAGTGGTACGGACAGAGGGGGCACTACTTTACTCCTCCAAGCTCCAACAGCACCAGTAATATTATGTGAGTTCTCGCGAGCGGCCGCGTACGACGTTGGACGACATTTCTCAAGCCAATCAGGTCCGCCTTGAAGGACAACATACAAACCTTCCTCCTGGCAGCTAACCAGGCAAACACTAGTCTCGCACCACCAACATTCATATCGTGGCCAGTAATATGAATGAAATATGAAAGGGAGGAGGTCGATATCCGGGCAGAGGTATAGCCGTTCGGTAGAATATGGCTTCATGGTGCAGTTAGGGCTCACAATTGGCCCTGGTTGGTAGCTGCTCATACGCACATGATACAATGTCTGGGCTTCCAGCTGCTTGTTCTCGTTGAAAGTGACCGTTATGGCAAGGTCAGCGGATACTTCCGGGATATTTGGTATTGAACATCCGTGTAGAAGAGATGGCTGTCCATCTATGATCATCAGTTGGAAAGCATCACGGATGCGCTGGGAGAGTGTCTCTGTAAGTCCTGTGTGCAACCACCGTTCTAACCGAAGTCTGTCAAAAATGGTTAAAGAGAGGCAGGGACAGAGATCTATAACTTTCGCCTTAAGTATGCACCTCCGGCTCAATGGTGGGCGGGATTTGCTGCCTGTCCAGAACATTGTGCGTGGCTGTAACTTCAAGCATTCCGCACAGTAAGCCCAGTGGTCATCTTCGAGCTGAAGCAAAAGCTGAGTCCTCGGAGAAATCGGCTGAGGCTCCAATGTATCCTTGGACAGCCTGAATGTTTTACAGGCCAACATACTTGCCCACGCTAGCCCTTCATCTTGAAGGGTGGAGCTAAAGAGTCTGTAAAGAGGCTTGCAGCTGAGCGCGAGACAGACTTGCGATGGGAGCGGCAGAAGTGGGAAAATTTCGAAGATGATGTCAAGGGGGAGATTTAGACGCGCTGGGATAAGTATGTCTTGTGAAACCTGTTGCGGGGGGATAATTATGTCTTGTAAATCCTGATGCGGTGGTGGATGACTCGACCTTGTTTTTCCTCTGAGCAATCGAAGGAAACCCCGTATCTTTCGAGCGAGCAAAGGACCCATTGTATTGCACATCATTGTTGGGTTTCAGGTGTATTAAACTGGAAGGATCCAGGATGATGGGTAGAGAGAACTCTGACATCCTCGTAATGATCGACCTACGAAGTATGTCAGTAGAAGGGACGGAACGCCGTCAGAGATTGGAAATATTGGCATCACACGTAGAATTCTTGCTGTCATTGTGAAGTCATCCACAGAGATGCATGGACTTGACTACTTTAGGTATCAAGGGATCTGAAAACATAAAAGACACGCAAGGCCTTTACTGAACAGTCTGCACGGATGAAGCGGTCTGGTCAGTCGAGTCCTGGGTACATAGAGTAGTTCTAGAGAGTTTTCACAACTATCTTTTGGCTCCAATTATGTACGGAAGCGTCCTCTATTGGGTGACAATCACGTGGACTTTTGTAATATGTGATATGTCTCAGACCCTCGGTATTGAACTTTTTCGATTAGCACTGGTTTCTAACCGGCAAACAACTCTCAACCAACCATTATAAACTAAATATCTCCAAGACTCTGAAATCTGTATACTGCCCTTACCCTCCCAAAATACAGGGTTTCAGTAAGTTCATATACCCCTCAGACAAAGTCGCTCTGAGTAAATGGAAAGGCAATATTATAATCTGGATATAGGACAGTATAGCCCAGGAGACTAAGAGAATATAACAAGCGAAGACCAACTCTCTAAAAGATTACCTTTCGGTTCTCACTCCCGCCACCTCCACTCGACCATACGTGAACTCGTCTTAGCTTCACCGGACGGTTACTAGTCATCAGCACTGCGAAGAAGTGCGAGTTCGTTGCTGATGGGCCCTCCCCTGATCAGTGTGGCTCCACCAACCAGGATCACTGGGCAGGGTGGATGGCATTTGGTTCTCAGTCCCACCTCAGAGGCCGAGCTGACCTCCTCTAGAGGCGATCTCAGGGACCCCGAAGAATCCCTTCTATGTCAGTGAGGAAGTCATTGAGCACCAAGAGATTGCACACTTCCTCAAGGGTGGAGGCTGCCTCCCGTGCCGTGACCCTGTTCTCCCTGTCTGCAGCGAGGGCCTACCTTTCGTTCAAGTGGATTTCCCGCTTGTCCAAAAGGGAGACCTGCTCTTTCGCGCGGGTGCCCTGTGCTTCTAGGGAGGAACAGAGGTCACTGACATTGGTCAGCAGTGGCTCCAAGCCCTCGAGGCGGCTAATCGTCTGGGCGCTCCGCTCGGCCACTGGTTCAAGATTGGCTTTGGCCTTATCCTTGGGCCAGAGGACAGGGACCAGGTGCTTGACCCAATCTTTAGCGGGACTGAGGCCCCCAAAAATATTGGAGGTGACAAACGCCACCCACCATCTAACGTTAGCCCAGTCCACCATATTAGAGATGAGGAGTGGGGAGAAAAGCAAAGTTGGTTACTTAGCTCTGGTTGCTGTTTAGACGCTGTTGTGTAATGATCCCATTAGGATGGAGGGAGAAGGATAAGCATTTGCTTCCCCCTGGTTAATACGTTATGACTTTAACGAAGCGACACCGTGAGGATGGAAAGTGAAGATAGAAAGACGACTCGGGGACTGAAGTTAGGACATAATAACAGAGACTCAGTCTCCTTCAACAAGGAAGGAACGGTCATCATCATAGAGCCGTGACACAGCAGGTACGCTGAGGAAGTGAAAACCATCGGCAAGGCAGGAGTGAGTGGGCTGTGGCCGCTACACACTTAGGCTATCATCGAAAGATTCGAGTATCTGCTCCATGAGGAGTATAAAAATATCGATGTTCCAATTTCAGTCGGCTTGAAGTACGTCCACTGTAGTAACACACTGAAGAGACATGCCTTGCTATTCCATGGTCCACACTGTGGATACTTCGAAAAGCCAAGGAACGTGAGTACCAAGGTAAATGTCTCGGCCCGTATAGAAATCATGAATGCAGGACCAATACGCTCTAATAGTACTAGTAATCAACAATATTAAAGAAGCTACTCGCATAGTCCTCCAGGCGGCATCGTATATAAAGTGCGCAGATGAGACCATAGGGTCTGGTCAGAATGATCTTTTGGCCCAGTTGTGAACGTGCTTGCCCGGACACGCGTTCCTACAGTAGACGCGAATTTACTTTTCCAGAACCCGTGATAGAATTGTTTTGGTTTCACTATAGATTATCTGGTGAATGCAATAGATAAGCATACTAACGTTATGCAAGGAGTACTAAATATCCAATGGCTAAGGGGGCCTTGACAATGTCTGCGAGTATGCACTGGCAGTATTGATTCGAGCTGGTGAAGCAATCAACACAAGATATTTAACAAGTTATTGCCGCCACAGGTTTGTAACGAGTACTGGTACAATACTTCGGCTACACTGTTCTACAATAACGACAAAAAAGCAGCAGGCTTGGCATTGAATCCCTAACAGAATAGAGATGCTGATTCCTATATAATTCTCAGATAGTAAATTAAGTTGAGGGTGAGCATGGCGGTGCTCTAAGTATCGAGGCTTGACTAAAGAACGCTCATTGGCCAGTACGACTAGAATGTAAGCAAAACATTTATAAATTCATCATCGCTTTTTCTTCACCACCACCTTGCTCACAATCGTACAATCACATCATGTCAACTAAATCACCGTCCCCCTTCCTGCATTTACCACCTGAAATACGGATTGAAGTCTACCGGCGCTTGTTTGGCATCGCCCCTCATACTCGACTGCGTGTCGGCGAGGCATGCCTGGACAGCGACTTGCCGCACTGTACCGAGACCTCGATACGTGTGTCAACGGCTTTTGAGGTCTACGTGCACACACCCTCGACTTCGAATGCGAGCGACTACGCAGAAATGGATATTCAATACTGCTCGGCAAAAGAGCAATTCAGACGACATATATACCGCGAACACCGCCCTCTATTCCTCGCCATTCTCGCGACTTGCAAGACGATATACGAGGAAATGATGCCGTTTTTTTACTCGTCGGCATTTTTCGCCATCTCAGGAAATATTGCAAAGGCTACCAACTGGTTATATAACATCGCTCCCCGACGAAGCAGGCATATCCGGAGACTCAGCTTTCATTTCAGCAGCAATGCTTTGTCGGAATGTTTCTCGAACCAGGGCAACATGCAAATCCTCGCTAAGGAACTGACATATATGGATCGGCTTGATGTTGTGGAATTGCTGGTTACAGATACACGGCTGGAGGAACAGCTGTTGAGTTTTGGTGCGCTAGTGAAGCATGGTGTCCCACGATTTGCTGTGTCTCGAAGGCCGTGCGAGCCATTGGTACTATTTGGTATCGAGCAATTGGAGGCAGTGCCGAGGTTGGGGTGTGTCCGGATTGTGGGCCGTCTTGATAGGTTTTTGGTATACAGGGAGGATAAGGAGTATTTGAGGGCCATTGCAGAAGGGAGGAAGCCGGCTGGCCTTGGAAAGGAAGATTGTCATCGACCAGTGGTGGAGCTTGTACAGTTATAAGGGGGAAGTTGGACTTGTAAAGCAGCGTATTGCAACCCTTCCTGGTTTCGATGGACGTCTATAGGACCCCCAACCCTAGCGTGGGTACGGAGAGAGATGCAGAGGAAGTGGAATAAATCATATTCAACACGGAGCTCTCCAGCCTTGACATATCATTCACAAAATCGGACAACGCTTCAGGTTTGTAAACACTCATCACTCTTGGTATAGACCTTCGGCACACTAGTTCACGGGGCTACTAAATCGGTGAAGTCATATCTGGAAAGAAGAATGGTTGTAGAATGGTGAATATTTCATAATGAAATATGGACTGGGAAATTCTGATTCTGTTGTCACTTATTATCAGTTATGTTATTTAGGGCCGATTTACCCCAAATTTGGTAGTAATGAGAACCTAGTTACGGTCTCCAGACCATGCACCTGTCCTTCGGTGGTGGTAGCTGGTAGATCAGAGGCATGGAATCAGCCCTAAACTGCGCAGATATAATCAATACTTCCATGGTAAAGCAAATCATTAGTGAGTTATAATTATTGGTGCAGTCACGCTTTCAAGATGCAGGTTTCTCAAGTCTTCTCGACTGCCCAAATTGTGACGAGATTTGCACTTTCGAACAAATCAACCGATGATCGGGAGAATACTCCTCCAATAAATTGAATACGACAGTTTGAGCATGGTGACGTATAAACCGCCGCTTGACAATTCGCAGTTAATATACAATATACTGTAGCCTCAGGCTTTCTGCTAGACCTGCCTAAATAGGTCTAGCGCTGTTGTTCTTGAGCGATTCCTCCTCCCACAATCATGTTGATAGTCGTCATATCCTCAGACGCTGCCAGCGGTGATTCACTTTCTGCAAAGAAATCTTATCAAGGATAAGCTCTTCTGTTGTTATTACCCACAGTACTTTCGATTCTTTCGCTAACATCATTTGCGAGTCATTAGGCCTCCTGTTCATGGACCATCGGGGAAAAGCTGACTCAGCTGGTGACTCCAAGGAGCTGTCGCAATAGTAGTCAAATTGCCAGCATTGCCAAGAGAACCAACAGTCGGGTAATCTCATCGATATGCGTTCTCGGTTGCTGTCGCCTTTGCCCCATGCTATGGTGCGATTGATTCCACTCAGGGCAAGCGGGGGGCTTAACGATAGGGCGATAGGGACGGTATTGTCGGTATCCAAGCCCTTGGCATGGGCCTAACGCCCGGCATTCTTTGATATAATAGATTTGCCAAGCAGCTTGGCCCTGTGCCGAGCATCTCCTATGACCCGTTTGGGAGGCACCAAGCTCAGATGAACAGAATCTTCTGCCTGCCTGCCATTATTTCATTGCCACACAAAATGCGGCAACCCCCGGGAGGGCCAGGGGTATGTACCCTCTCAGAGATTCATAACTGCGTGGAACCTTGACACGATACACATGTGAGCATCAGGATTGAAACAGAATCTATAACCTGCTGCTCAAACTGCGGCGACCATGGTTCTTGTACCGTACCTGAAAAAGATCGCGGGATGGCTGGCACCGCCGCCCCCAAAGTCGGAAGATGGGCGCGATCAATGGCCCTCACGCGCAGCCTTTCTGCTAGCAGCGATGGGTGGTTGCGCAGGACAAGGAAACCTGTTACGGTACCCGTCAGTCGTCTATAACAACTATGGCTTGCAGTGGTTCATTCCTTACTTGTTAGCCGTGTTTCTCATCGCCATCCCTGCCCTCATTCTCGAAATCTCGATCGGCCAGGCCTACCGCGGAGGTAGCGTGATCGCTTTCAATAATATCAACCGACGGCTCAAGGGCGTCGGGTTGGGCCCTATCCTGGTCAGCTTTATCGTCACCCAGTACTTCACTGTCAACCTAGCCTGGATTATGAACTATTTTCGCAATTCGTTCTACAGCCCCTTGTCATGGGAGAATCGCATCGAAGAATTCTATATGGGAGACGTCATTCATAATGTCGACCCAGTGGAGGGCAGCCTGAGTGAAGGAAATAAGAACGTGGTTGCGTTTACCCAGTATCCCGGGGTTGGTGTGATCGGAGAGACGGTGGGCTGGAGCGCCTTTATTTGGTTCCTGATTTGGGTATCGATCTTTCGCGGCGTGGGCCTAACGGGGCGCGTGGTCTACTGGACGATGGGCTTGCCAATTGTCACCACCATTATTTTCGTCGGTCGGTCGCTCAGCCTGGAGAACGCCAGCGAAGGCGTACGCTTGCTCTGGGCGACTTGGCGAAGCTCACAGTTAGCCTCCGGAACAGTTTGGCAGACGGCTGTGGGCCAAGTCTTCTTCTCTACGGGCATTGGATTCGGCTATTTCACCTCATATGCCTCATACAATGCGAAACACTCCAACGCGGTAATGGATGCTATCCTCATCTGTGGCAGCAATGTGTTATTCGAAAACTTTGCGGCGTTCGCGGTATTTGGCGTGGTGGGCTACCTGCGACGTTGGCCCCAGGAGGGTGAACGGCTGGGTGCCTTCGTGGTCGGCTTTCTGACATTGCCTGAAGCGGTCCTTCACATGCCCGGGTCAAACTTCTGGGCACTTCTGCTCTTCTTTACTCTTGTGGTGCTCGGCTTCAGTTCGGCATTTGTGATGCTGGACGCGGTGACGACCCTCGCTGTCGATTCAGGGCTCAAGGTTTCGCGTCCGATAATTGTAACCACGCTGACTCTGATCTCCTTCCTCATGTGTCTTCCCTATTGTACCGAGTTCGGCTTTTACCTGCTGGACGGTATCGACCGCTGGATCAACAATATCGCCTTGATATTCGTGGTGTGGTCCGAGCTGGTCGGCGCCACCACAGTCTACCGCTGGACTGACGTGGTGGGCCAAACAGGGCTACCGGCATTTATTGTGTATAACTTTGGCTATTTTGGTGGGCAAATTGTGGGTATAGCGGTTGCTCATGGGACTAATAATCCATCCATTGGTGCAAGCGCAGGCTTTGGCTTGTACATTGTCTGTGCTGTTGTCGCGGTGGGTATCGCGACGACTCCGCAGGCGGAGGCAGCCAGGTTCTGGAATCGAAACGCAGTCCTCCGTCGATTCTGGTTCTTAGTATTCTATTCGGTAAGCCAAGACAAGACATACCTACATTTGTGAGTGCACTCACTGACGTCGCGCTTTAACTCTAGGGCAACCAGCTACGACGTGACCTCAACCAAATTGTCGGCGGCGGCCGAAACTGGAAGATACCTGTCTTCTGGCCAGTGCTACTGCGATATATCAGTGCCCCAGTTCTAGCTATTATCCTCAGTTTTGCCTACCCAGAGTTCCACACTTTGCGGTACGATCCCATGATGATCGCAGGTTTTATCCTGGCTCACCTCAGCCTGTTGGCCATGCTCTTGGGTCTCGTCCTACCACGCTACTATGATTGCTTCATCCCACCAAGCCGATACGGCGAGAGCACGCAAGGAACTATTCCCAATGAGCCACGGCCGCAAGATCTCGGGCAGCCAGCCATGACTTCCTTTCACGGCACGGAGATCAATGCGCTCCCGGCAGGGCTCACTCTTAGAGACATAACAGCACAACCCTTAGACTTCAAGTCACATACTAACCCTATGGAAACGAAGTTATGAGTATGGTTTGTTTACTTTGTCTGTAGATATAGAGGAGTTCATTGCATTTTACTTTGCTAATCATATTGTTCAAGTGGCTTATGAGAAATATATATTGTATGTAAACCTGTGGTCTCGGATGAGATTCTTATCAGGAAGATTTCATATTCCTCCACGACATGACTGCGGCTATAAATCGTAATATGATCAACGTATCGGAGCAGCGAATCTGCACCTGCTTTTCTATCTACTTATTTACATCCGTTGTGCACGTTCTTTCGCAGCTCGGCCTGAGGCATCGGCTTATGTAACCTAGCTCGGAGCTCATGATTGAAGCTGACTGTTCGGAGATAAGCACTATTTCTCATCCGCCTGCCAGTTCAAGTCTTTTGCGATCTTGACAACATTTACTGAATATATGAGACAAATTTGAAATGGTCAACCAATCCAGACAGACCAGGAAACGCCGACGGCCCGCGTACTCTTGTACCGAGTGCCGTCGTCGTAAAGTCCGATGCGACCGCGCCCAACCTTGCAACCAGTGTACCAAGCAAGATGTGGCCTTGGCATGTACGTACGAAGAGCATCCTCGGAAGGTTCCCAAGAGGCAGCAAAACATGAGACGGCAGTGTACGCCAGAAGAGCCCGCCCCCGTCGATGGCTCATCACACATCTCAACCATCTCGAGAGGTATTCGAGGGACTATATCGAAGACACGGGTGTTTGGCCACGGGCATTGGATGAACACCGTTTCTATGGTAGAGTGCTCCTGCTTGTATCATCATGGTTTGGTATTGTTATACTAACAATCATCGAAGATGGACGAACTCTCTGCTCTCCAGCCACTCGGGGAGTTTTATGAATCAATGTTTAGAGCGGAAAATCATAGCCACCATGACAAGATCTCGAAGACGGTGCTTGAATGTAAACAGCTCGCTCGCGACTTTAAACGGAAACGTCCAAGTAGAGGGTGTCTCCCGGATGATCTCCATCGGTCCTTTCCTGACCGGAGCGTAATGGATGAACTAATTGAGATTTACTTTTCTACCTTTGAATCCTGCTACCGTATTCTTGACCTCCCTTCGTTCCAGGAGGAATACAAAAGCTACATCAACTGTTCAGAAACGGCAAGGGGCCCTTTCTTGCTGCAGCTTGCTCTTCTGATGACCCTGGCGGGCAAATTACACGGAGGCGCGAATATCCGCAGTGAGATGACGACAAAAGGGTCCACGTGGATCCATATTGCTCAGACATGGCTTTCTGCACCACTGGAAAAGGACCGCTTGACCTTGGATGGCATTCAAATCAATTGTTTATTGCTTCTTGCCCGTCAAGTGACTCGAATCGGAGCTGATTTAGTTTGGATCTCGGCGGGCTCGCTCGTAAGGATAGCCATGCAGATGGGCTTACACCAGGATCCAGATTGTCTTGAGGAGATGAGCTTAGCACAGAAGGAGATTCGACGGAGACTATGGTACACCATTTTAGAAATAAATGTACAGTCGGCATTGGATTCGGGCATGGTACCGATGATCACGGATGCAGACTACAATACGCAGCCGCCATCTAACGATGAGCCAAAAGACAACACGCAAGTAACTATTTCGAACCGGATGTCCTTCCAGTCTCTGCTGGTAGATTCATTGCCTCTAAGATTGCGGGCTGTCAGAGTCATGAACAGCTTACAGGAGGAACCGTCCTACGATGAGATTCTAGCCCTTGGAAATGAACTAGCTTCGGAATGTGGCAAGGCTGCAATTGCGATTGAGCAGGCTGTCTCTGAGAACAACCCACATTCTATAGGGTTTGGATCCAGCTTCTGCAATCATCTCCTTCGGCGGTTCGTTTTGTGCCTTCATTACCCATATGCGGTCAAGGCCAAGAAAAATCCGCTGTATTGCTACTCGCAGAAAGTTTGTCTTTCAGCCGCCCAAGACCTAGTAGTACTTCTTGAAGACGATATTTACCACCGTATTCTCCTCACTGGGGGTGGCATGTTCCGCGATCTCATCACTTGGGGAGCTATGCTTATTTTCCTCGAGCTATGTCCGGAATCTGACGCAGAAAACTCAGTCTTCGCAAGGAGGAGCAGCCGCTCTCGGCAGGAGCCACTACTACAAGATGCTCGTCGCGTGGTGGAGTATGCAAGAGACAGAATGTGGCATGGGGAAACGAATGTAAAAGTCTATGTATGCCTTAATATGATGATGGCCCTCGCTGAGGCTCGTGTTGACGGTTTGCCCGAAAAAGAGGCTATTTCGAAGGCTCTACACGAGAGTCTGGGTACATGCCATGCTCTTCTAAAGGCCATGGCTACTGATTCTTCCACCGACACGACGGATCCGGTTCTGGAATCTTGGGCGTCCAGCGGCTTGACGGAGCCCTTGTTTGCTGATTTGGATTCCGACTTTGACTTTTTGGTGGACGGACACCTTGATATGAGCTTCTTAGACAATTTGTTCGATCTGCAGTAACTGGTTGTCCTAACATGAACAACCGTCAGAAGCGTTAAACATCAGTTATAGGTTATGATGCTACCCTATCTGCTAATATATAGCGCCTGGAAAGTCCAACGGTCTCGAAGCTATAATACGCAACAAGTTGGTTCACTCAACTTTGCTTATATTCACAAGACTCTGATTAGACATAATACTACATCGAACGGAGAGTATCTACAAAACATCGCGTCTAGGCAAAATTTCAATCGGAGGCGTACCCCACCATTTCCCTGTATTCCGGTAGTTTCCAACCTTTCGTATCTTCCCGCAACAACCATTTGGCAAGAAAGTCGAATCTCAGCAGAGAGGCAACCCAAACGAGGACATAAACCATCTGAATGCCGATAGGGGATGATGGGAATTTATCCATATAATTTTCACTGTCCGTCAACCCTGCCTGGACTGTACTGATCAACGGTCTCAGCTTTTCTTCGTACTCAGCCAGAGCAACCGTGATACTATTCTTGGAAACCGGCATCCCTCCTTTGAGTCCCTTGCCACAGTTCTTTCCGATTTCGCCCGCTAGGATATAGGCGCCGGTCATGCCACAGGTTGTACCCATGCCCGTCATAGCTGTCGGGCAGTAGGCTGCATCGCCAACCAGTACAACACGGCCCTGGGACCAATAGTCCATCTGGACAACTCCCATGCGCTCACAGTAGAAATCGTCAGTATCAGCCAGGCCTTGCAGTATTTCACTCGCGTTCCACCCAGTTCCGCAAAAAGCCTCTGTCAGCCCTTTCTTTTCGGCTTCGATGTCGCCTTGGCTCGCGCTCTTCAGTCCCTCATAGGAATTCTGGCTGCAGACCATATATGCCTGGTACTTGTCAGGGTGAGCACGACGAGTCATAATGCCTTTGTGACCTGGAGCAAAAAAGGCAGTAGCATTGTACCCCTCGCCCGGCTGAACAGACTTTTGGATGGTAAAATACCCAGCATATACCCCGAGCGGATGAACTGGGTCTTTCGCGTCGGTACCCAGTATCATCTTCCGAGTATGAGACCCAGATCCATCGGCCCCTACAACAAGATCGAACTGCTCCCTACTCCCATCAGAGAAGAGGACCTCGGCGTACTCATCCACCTGCCGGATCTCCTTGATCCACATTCCGAAGCGATATTTGACACGGTCCATAGTCAGATCATACAGAAGCTGGCATAGATCGCCCCTCATGATCTCAAAGTCGGTAGTGAAGCTCTGCAAGCCTTTACCGGTCCTATTAGCAGGGAAGTATCCCCATCTTCTACCTTTCCCATCAACAACCTGTAGGCCTTGCTCCGAAACGGACCGAGCACGGAAGGCTTCCTCCAGGCCCATCCTTCGCATCACTTGGATGCCCGGTCCGCGAAGGTCTACCTGTAGTCCAGTGGCGCGTATCTTCGGGAATCGTTCGATGACGGTGATTTCGTGGCCGAGCTTTGAGAGCCAGAATGCGAGCGCGTTGCCTGCGATGCCAGCCCCGCAGACGAGGACTTTCAGTTGGGCCATGCTGTGTATGGTTTCAGTTGGGTTGGTTGGAGAGAGAACTTTGATAATTGATGATGGTATGGGAAGCTACTGAAAGAATGCAGGAAATGTGTCCATTATAAAGCAATGCCAGTATGCTCCAGCTCTTCGGCTGGAGTGGTTCAAGTATACTTTGACCACCGATATGGCCGATATGGCCGTTACGCCCGACATAACCGAAACCGCGTGCTAAAGATCAACAACATTAACACTGTTGGTGTACACTGATCTATGCTGCTCTTATACCGTTTTTCAGGGGTTGAGACAGTCAGAAATGCCTCTGATGCCTTTCTCACCATTCACGATGGAGGAAAGGCTCCTCGCGGCTCCACGGTTGCACGCTTCTGCTTTCGCGACGGGTTAGATACAACACTGCTCTTGCGAGGACGAAGGATGTATATCTTTGAATTAAACCCACCATACGGTTAACAGCATATCTCAACTACTGACTTGAGTCTTTATTAGCTTTGGTCGAGGGGCCATGCCACATATATAGACCTCCCCGTCCGATGCCTCATGATTTAATCTTTGAAGCCTTGGCCTGATCACTCCAACATTCAACACGAGCATCCCTATTCCTCAACCCAAACCATTCTGGGCTTTGTTTAATTGAAACACCATGACGCACCAACCGGCGTGCTAGTCTATAAGCTCGTCATAAAACCGATATTCGATGATCTGAAACTGCTCAACGAATGATACGCACACTCTTTTCCAGGAGCAGCATGGCAAGGAGCTGAAAAATGGAACGTGCCAAGATCATGCCTTACAACAAACCCCCCTTTGGTCGCTACATCTGCCATTTTCACATTTGACGGTGCACCGCCGATGTCTCCTCCTCTAGCGACATTACAAAATTAACGAAGCTATGCGCACGGTGGAGGGCTTCTATGAGCAGTGGCGACAGGTTGTGTTCTCATATATCAAAACACAGGTAGAAGTTTGTGCACCCGAATACCGTTGCAACGGTGAAGAGGTGGATTTGAGTCTTTGTGAGAGTAACGACGGGATTATTCAATCTAGGACTGAGAGGGAGATCTGAGAGTCAAATTGTTGCAAGTGTCACACGGTTTCCTTGAGATTAAACCTGGTTGATATCGATATCCAGTCTTCAACGCAAGCCGGTCAACCAAAATATGAAAAAACTAATGGAATCCACCCTCGACAGGGATAACCTGCCCATTGATATACGAAGCATCGTCACCCAGCAAAAATGCAACCGTATTAGCTATCTCCTCAGGCCTGGCCAGTCTCCTCAACGGCACATTCTTAACGTAATTATCAACAAAAGCCGGAGGTGCACCATCAAGCAAGGGGGTATCCGTACCCCCCGGAGCCACACAATTCACCCTCAATCCTTTATCCCCAAAGTCCTTGGCCCAAGTCCGGGTGAGCCCCAGAACAGCATGCTTGCTTGCACAGTAGGACGCAATCCCCGGGCTACCAAACAGAGCCGCAGTGGATCCGATATTTACCAAGCAACCTATTCCTTCTGGGACTGATCCTTCCTTTGCCCTGCTGATGGTGTCTGCGTGCTGCTCCAAGACATAGCGCAGGTACGCCGTGCCTACATTCCACGTTCCGCCGACGTTAACTGCCATGACTTTATTGAAGTTCTCGACTGGTTCGAGGATGCTGGAGGGAAGCAGAATGCCTGCACAGTTGACTAGGCCGCTGATCACTGGGGATTGTTGTATGATTGATTGGAATGTTTGTGTCACTTTCTCGTGCGAGCTGATGTCGACATTGGGATGAAAGTGAAGTCGCTCGGAGTTGATAGTCGGCATCTGTCCGGCTTTGTCAATGGCGTGAACTGTCGCCGATAGCCCGAGGAGCTTTTTGACGACAGCGAGGCCCATTCCCGATGAGCCACCGGTCACTATATAAGTTCGGCCGGCGTGCATTTTATTGTCTTGTGTTCGTGTGCGGGGTCTGGAGGCGTAATAGCATTCCACCGTAGAAATCAGCGAAAGGCAAATTAGTGATAAAAGTTAAGCAGCTGTTTGTGTTTATCTGCGGGGAAAGATGAGAAAGGCTTGGATAGAGCTTATTTCAGCGAAAGGCTTGCTATTTGAACCTTGGCTCTGAAAAGTGCCATGGGGCGACTGGCCCCTTGCAGTATAACGTAGGGATGGAATCCAGGGACGTACTTGTAGATATCCTGAAAAATGATTTTAAATTCACAACGCCGTAATTCGGTAGATCTTCTATTTCTGACGTTCTGTACGTCACAACAGGGTTATCATACTGAAAGGATTACCGCAAGACATCTGCAGTGGTCGGATATTGGATTACGTTAACGTGCTTTGCCTTATACAAATTCCACAAGTGAACAGGGAAGGGGAGTGTTGATTTACAATAATACAAAGTCATTGTACTGCTACCTACATTGACCGAGAGTCAAAATAACACCACTAAAAGATACATGATTCCACGTCACTCAGTACAAGCCTCGACGGAACTATTAATTACCACTTTCTTATCCTACGACGATGCATGGTTGTTGATACCATACACGAGTTAATTATCTTCCAAAGCCTTCAGCTTTTCTTGCAACGCAGCATTCGCCCTCCTGTTATCCTTGGATATGTCGATGCCAATCAGTGTAGTAGCAGCTGTCCATACTGCATAACCGAAGGTATCACAACTGTAGATATCTTCGTCACCACACATAGGGAGCCGTCACATTCGGAAGCTCCTGCTAGGAACTTTGCGAGGCAGATAAATGCCACCAAGGATACGAAAGACACAAGCCAATGGATGGTAAATTTGCATGCCTTGGCCAGACCTAGTTGGCGCTCATCACGGTCTTTGTGAGCTAGGATATCGGCCGTACCTTGCGAAGGGGAGAGGGAGCCATAAGCCATATAAGCGACGGCTACGAGGGAGATGCATGAGGAGAACATCGCAATGGATACTTCCTACGAAACATGGTCGAATGCGGTAAAGTAGGAATGGGCAACTTTAGTAATGGTCAGACTAGCAACCATCACAGATCTAGTAGTGCAGTAGCTTCCCGTTACACAAGAGTGCGAATGTAGCGACAGCGTATATCGCTTGCGACACTCTCAAAGAGAAGAATACACCCGGCGGGGCCATGACAGTATGGGAAAAGAAGCTATAATTGGTAGTATTTTAAGGAAGATATGTAGGACATATCCAGACCTTGTCATACTGGAAAGCGGAGCATTAACTCTCATATATAACACGGGATGAGGCCTCTTTTGGACACAAGGCCTGTGTGTGATGTTGCTGTATGTAAAACACAGGTTAATCAACGTGATAATAATCTTAATAGCGGATACTTTCAATACAGTGTGTCGTTGCGTGCAATTCTACTGTCCTCGCCTTGGAGCAGAAGAAGTACCTTGAGAAATGCGTAAGTGTCATCGATGCTCCTTTGTTGGTTTTCACTGTGCTAACTGGATTCGGTCATTACAGAAGACCAGGTGTGACAAGTAGGCTTCGGGATACAAATATGTGGCTTTAGGCCTCTGGAAAATCCATATATTTTAGAATTTGTTACACTAGACGTGGTAGTTCTGCTTGTAGGGGAAGGTTTCGTACTTGACGAGTCCTGGTTGTATTCATGGTGTCTGCAAGTACGCTTTGAGCAGCATGTAATATCAGTCTATGCTAGTATATTCTCTCTAGGAGCTCCAATAAATGTCCTCTTGTTGTTATAGAAAGGTTTAGAAGAATAAATCAGTCCCAATGTGCGATATTGGAATTGGTTCAAAGGTCAATGCCAGAGGAATGATAACTAATTACTAACGCCTAATGGCTAGTAGGTCAATTCAATGAAAATACTAAGTACATTATAGAAAAGATGCCAGGGAGAAGAGATGTAGGTGATAGAGTCACGCGAGCTGCTCTAATGCAAGCACCCAAGTCTCTTGTAAGCCAGACCATTTGTCTATAGAGAAGTTGTATCTATTCAGTCTAGAATTGCCTTGTCATTCATAGTATAGTACCATTTAACCTCAAAGTATCTCCAGCATCACTTGGCGATTATCACGGACCAAAGTAGGCTCATGGGCTAATATATATCGGTTGCCGTTCATTGGGGTCAAGTTTGGAGACTCCTCGTGGCCTTTCTATACTTGGCGCTGCAAGACACTTTAAGATAACATTAGAGAATGCCGATTACTTTGGCAATCATAAAATTACTGTGAAGGACCGCTACAAGGCTCTACTGAGAGCATATGGCTTAGTTACAAGTTTGGTTGCTGACGGATATAGAAGGGTCTGGAAAAAGGGTGGACCTCCACTGGTGCGGTTAGTCGGTCTTTACCATATATTAAACTGCAGGAGTCTCAATAGTAGATGAGGTGTTCTCAGTGAAGTGAGTGCACAGGCGAAATCCGTTTTGATTGTATTCAAAGGTGTAATAATAATAATATAATAGTGACCGCTGAAGACTAGAGAAACGGTTCCTTTAGTTGTGAGATATATAGTGTGGATCGGCCTGTCAAAAACCCGACCCGCAGCCATGTTCTATAAATACTACTGATATCAACGCTAACAAAGAGAAAGGGGCACACTGAACAAAATCAATCCTTATTGAACACGTGAGAAACAAGATGATATATATTCTGGGCCAAGATGGCTATCTTGAGGCTTATTTTTAGTAAAGACAATCGTAAACAACCCGGAAAGAGGAAAAGTGAGGGAGGAAAAACATCCCACTTGGGTGATACAATTCCAGTCGTCCTGCAACCACTTGGTCGATTCTCATCGTCGCTGACTGCCACGTGTCACGTCTCAGTGGGGTTTGTATGCAGGATCCTCGTCTTTCCAGGCAAACACATTCTTTCAATTATATTATGCCCCACTATAGTAGCAGCCAAGCGCCGCATCACCCCTCGTCGTTACCCCTCCATCTGAAGCGCAGGCTGGGATATAAATTCCTTCAACCCTGACTTTCTCACTCAAACCATTACTCTCTCACTAAATATCTCTCAAAACCATTACAATCACCATGTCTTTCCACGAATCCTGCGAGCTTATCCGGATTGAAGTCCGCGGCGATGGCACCTGGCTTCTCGCCGCTGCTGGAACCATGAATGAAGGGGAACATATTCCCGCGGAGCTCAGGCTCGACGATAGAATCGGCAACAGCGACGGTAGGTCTCATATATATAGTCCAATCATATTGATTTTTCGGGGATCATGCTAACACCCAGACCTTCAATGCATCAGGATGGTTCGCCTACCCGGGTGAGAATTTCTCAGAAACCGCCCACGACATCGAGATCGAGTTCCGTGAAGATGGTCCTTGGTTGACCGCCGTGCTGGCCGAGCAGGATCAGGAAGACAGAGAGCGCCAGGGGATCAACTTGGCTCAGCATATTGGAAACAATAATGGCGAGCTCGTGTGGGTTTGAGTTGGCATTTGCATTCTCATCCTGATTCTGCTTGTGGACGTGGATGTGTTATGTATTTTGATTTGCAGGATCAGAAACAGTCATGTAGTGGAAGGATATTTGCCGTTCTCTCTACAATTCCAATGGAACATCCTAGAGTGTAAATACTGAGGTCTATTGAGACCTTCTTGAAAGGAATCTAATAGGGGGCACGTCGCTATAATAATAACATTGATCACATGATGAGTACCAATCTTTCCGCCTGCTGATGTTCAGGAACCAAGGCCGCCTTGTGACCAATAGGAGTCGGGCCATCGCCACCGCCGTACCCCACTTCAATGTTTGTATTGGCAGAATCGAGGCGTTTTCTGTCATGTTCTCGGGATTAATTCCCCCTCCTATCTTGCGAATTTGCTCAGTAACAGCCAGAATGCCCCTCATCACAGACTTTCCCCTCCCCACATCCCCAAAGCACCTTGAGCTGCCCGAGGGCACCGACGCCAAGGCGTTTATCGTGTTTGTGACCTCCGATGACCCTGTAACCGGTCAATCCTGGTGCCCGGATGTCCGTGCCGCCTGGCCAGTTCTTGAAGCCACGTTCTCCGGCCCGAACACACCGGCCCTGAGAGTGGTTGAGGTTGGACAGAAGCCAGAGTAATTTTCAGCTTGCGATTTACACGATTATCCAGGGTACTGACGTGGTTATAGATGGAAGGATCTACAGAATATCTACCGGACTAACTGGAAGATCCCTTGTATCCCAGCCTTAGTGCGATACGAACGTGTCAATGGCGAGACTATCGAGACTGGCAAGCTGGTCGAAGGAGAGATTCTGGACAAGGAGAAGCTGGGCAAGCTTATCGGAGCGACGCTTTAATGTTGCGTTTGATGTGTATACGAATCATTTCATATTGAGAGACAATGCCACAAATACCAACCACACAACTTCCTGCTTTTAACCCAGGAGAGATTTTGGCCAAGGAAAGACAACATCGATCCTCGGGGCTGCATCAAAAAAGAACAATCCGTTAATCCACCGTTGGATAATCAGCCGTTTGGGGCCGTTTCTTGGCGAGCTCAGCAACTCAACCTCTAGAGAGACATGCTTTTCGATGCCGTCTGGACTCGTCTCAGGCGAACGTACTGCAGTGAAAATATACGCTTGTTCTTTTGCCCACGGATTACCCGACTCTCTGGCGAAAACTCCACAGTATGGATTAGTACCAGAGCGGCCTTCTGCAGGGATTAATGAGCCCAGCCGAAGACGATCTGAGGGCCGGTCATCCATTGCCTTGACAACTTCCTCTGCCATGAGATCCTTGTAGTATTTCGCAAATGCGATAGCCTTGCCGCACGTTTTGTCTTTCTCGAGGTATTCATCGATAGCGCTTGCAATATGTTTATAGCGACGTCCACAAGCCCCTGATTCTAAATGTCTAGCGAGCTGCTTCAGACGCATTCTTTGGTAGCTGTTCAATTCATAGCCCTGGCCTTTATGTGGTTCCCTCGTTGTCCTAGGGTCCCTGACTATCTTGCCCAAGCGCCAGAGGTGGCCAGACGTTAGAATACCTTCTTCCGATAAGTGGACCTCGGGGAAACGACAATTTTTGATAAAGGTAAGCTTTTGATTGATATCAGGTATCTGAAAGTTGTGAAGAGACCGATCCGTCAAGTACTCGAATATAGTACTTCGAACTGCGTCTCGAGGGTTATCAGGGCCATTCATGAGAATTTCCCCGTTCAGTATGAATAAGGCCAGCATCGCAATGCTCAAACTGCAATTTTTTTGGTCCATCGTTTTGGTATTCAATCGAACAGAGTAGCCTAAGCAGTTGGCAATCACTGCCAGACGATCCGACTCACATGTGATCTTTCGCTTTCCGACATTTGAGAATATTAGTGGAGACATGGACCGCCTTACTGTGGGTTGTCCATCGTTACCACGCTCTAGAAGCTGGACATTGTATTTTGCTGCGCGGTCTAGGATTCCCTCGCACCTGGTTTTGTATCGTCGATCCTGTCCATAATCCATGCAAAATTCGGTCGCTTGAGAGCGAAAGTCGGCTGATGTGATGCAAAGCTCTCCATCCAAATCCCCAAATATTTCACAGTGTTTCCTTTTACAGTCCTGCAAGGCGGAAGAATATGGAATCAAAAGGCACATTCTCACTGACGAGCAATAGTCTTCCTGGAAAGTCCATGCTCTTTTCCACCATGGATCTGACGTAATATAATCCAAAAGGTTGAGAATTCTAGTGACCCGACCTCTCTCTCGGTTTCTCGGCGGGCTTTCTCTCTTAAGGAGATATACCAAGTCTTCTAGATGGTCTTCTGATTGGATCCGCACCGACAGCAACGCCACTGGAAAGGCACTCTTTGCGTATACATGCTCCATGGATTGAATCGCACGCTGCTTTTTCGCTTCGTTCTTTTGGTCAATGCATTCCTGATCGATCCAGAAGCCCCAGACCAATGGCTCCGTATCTTTGAGGTAATTGACATATGCGATAACCCTATTAAACACCTGATCTCGGACTTGACTAACACGCGGGTATCTCCCGTCCCGAGATTCTACCAGATAAGATCCATGGGAGGATAGCTGGGTCGAAAGGGGTTTCCAGGTATAAGATACAGCGACATATTTCCTCTGACCGTGTGCATTGACATGTGCTCTCCGGAGCCTTTTCTTTTCATCATTGTCGCATACTATTTCACCATTCCAGCGCCGCTTACGGCGTTGGCAAGAGGAGCCGGGGTAAATAATCTCCAAGTTCTCGATCCAATCCGAAGTCCGTTCGTCAAATATCCCGTGCTCTTGAAGGTCAAGTAATGTGGATACGATGGATGACGAGGTTCGCCTTTGGATGTTTCCAAGAGTGCTGAAGGTGTCTGCTTGCATTTTTGCGAATAGGCGGTATCATTTTGCAGAGTTTCAGAGCAACTGATGTTCTTATGTGGTGGGTTGTTGGACTGCAGTACGAGGCGAGGCTGAAACCCAAGGCTCGCACCTGGGCTGATTCTCAGAGGCTCGGACTTTCGGATGATATGCATCTCGGCCTATTCATCACAGACTAATGCATCACGGTCAGCCACCACCAATAGGCACTTCGTACTAGCCCAGGAAGGAGGAATAACACGGATGCTCGCTACATCTAATTGGTAACTGACAGCCACTCGGTACCTAAAGTACTGCGCCGGATTTGACGCCGATCTGCTTCACTTCGCCGATGTAGAAGTAAATCCTTTGACCATACACTTAGAGAGGTAAAAGTCTCACGCGTTCCCGTAAGAGGAAACAAATCTCGACACACGCCATTTAAGGAGGTTTATATACCTGCCTTCTTACCACGGTAGCTTGATGGCTCCCCTCACTTGTTACCAATGGGAGTGATGTATTAATTGCCGCCCGCGTAGGCTGTAGCTTGCGAGTGCGTGGAACGTGTAAATTATAAGTCAAGTGATATTGGGGAGTTTGCCCTTTCTCCGTTGCCAGATGTGATGGAGAGCCTTTTGACTTATACATAAATCAACACGAAGATGAATACCTTCCTAAATCACGTCGATACACAACGAGGCAATGTTGTATATCTGAAGGCTCCTGTGGATACTCGCATGTAACAATAATACAACCATCGGATTGTTAATCCACTTTAAGAATCCTCAGTGCATTTCCAGTACTAGGCTAAACGTGATATTTACATGAGGGCGCACATTAGATGGATACAATAAAACGTATACTACTATACAAGGGAGATACCGTTGGAAGATGTTGATTAACATACCCCTTAACGCAAAACTCGATTGCCCTCGGAGCTACAATAAGAGACACTGTATGAAATGAAATAAAATTCAAATATCTAGTTTTCACTTTGCCACGATGTTCAAGCTCCAGAGGTGGCCACCTATTTGTCCTTGTCGGGTGACCCATATTTGGTGCTGAAATATTAGGGCTATAGATCATTGGGATTGAACCGTGGTTCCAACCCAAACCATCAAAGCTCCCATCCAACTATGCATTGTTTGAGCTTGCCTTCCGAAGTTTGAATGTAGGGAACGGCGCCTATTATTAATACGATGTACGCGTCATGATTATTTAACATAGTTAATTGTTGATGGGCTATTAGTTGATACACCCAACCCTTTGGGTCAGCAATGCATATATCAAATGCGGGTGACCGTCAAGCCATAGGTCCTTCATCTTCTCCAAGCAACGAGCGACTCTAAGCATCACATTAATGTAAGCTTTCTCCTCCATGATCCCTGCACCCATTCCTTTAAGAAGGGAATCAATATTCGAGTTATGCAAACTAATGTTCACTCGTTCTTACGAGCTCAGAGCTACGGAAAACCCACCGCAGTGAAGGAACCGCCACAGATCCAGGAATAACACCAACAACAGCATATTATCCTTTCTTCCCTATTATCTCCGGAACCTATTAAGCAAATCAAACAACCAGTTCACCAACCAAAATGGAAGCAAAGAAGAATCTCCTCTGCGCCCAATTAGAGGGTCGTGAATCTCCCGCCCCCGAAAGCCAGACCGCCGAACAGCAAGAGCCTTTCTGCTGGGGTAGAATGTCTCGTACATTGCAACAACAGCGAGAGACCCAGACTGAGGGTAGCGTTGACAAAGTCAAGGCCTTTGTATTGGAAAGCAACCCTGTTCATCCACTCGAGGGGCCTCTAATGAGACAATATGCGGGTGATAAATTGAGGCGTATGTCGTCGGACTAACGTCGTCCCTTGGTGTTTGGGTAATCTTTCATTTTACCAAAGGGGCTGGCTGCTTTTGATTTTTCTTCAGACGGCACTTGTGTGAATGAAGGTAGTGGGTGGAAAATATTAATTACACGTCATGGCTCAAAATAATGAATGTATTGGGAAACTGCTCTACCATCTGCTGAGGGGACGGGCGAAAAATACTGCTGCCGTGACTGTTATGGCCAGTCAATGACCATTTTCAATGCTGTATTTGACTAGGTTTGTTGACTGGATGCATTAAAATATTAACATATCTTGAAATGGATTCGGCATAAATGATATAAGCACAATTTGGGGACCATGTACCAAGCCTGCCAATGGCCTTTCAGTTCTAACCTATTAGAGCTTTCCAAAGACGGGCTTCTTTTTCGATACCATGGACGAAATAGCAACTGGAACATCCCTGGTTTGAACCGCAGCGACGTTGTAAGCTAGCTGGTATTGAAGTCCTAAATTGAACAATTTAGCAACCTGTCTCAATGTAAAAGCGGAAGTAGATATGAAAGTACCTTCTGGGACAGTGCGGTCTCGACTGTAATCAAGGAAGTGCTTGATCGTCTGAACCGCAACTGGGCTTTTCTCACTGAGATTCCTCGCAACTCTGAATGCTTCCTGCATCACATCCTTCTTCGTTGGGAGAACGCGACTCACAAACCCAACTCGAAGCGCCTCATCTGCATCGAAGTTTCGGCCGGACATCGCCACATCCTTGACCCAGGTGTATGACCCGACGACCTTGGGTAGTCGTGCCAGAATCCCAATGTCAGAGGCAATGCCGATATCAACCTCCTTGACACAGAAGACCGTGTCTTTCGAACAGATCCGCATGTCCGTCGCCGAACAGACGTCCATGGCCATTCCTAATGCATAGCCATGCATCGCACAGATAACCGCTGGCTCTTGTCAGCGCTCGTCTAGAGCAAGCGAAATCGAACTAGCCCATATAAACAGACAAGGAGCTCCTTACGCTTCTCACACTTCTCAATACTCGAGATACACTCCTGGAATTCAACACCAAATCTCCGAAGCTTAGTGACTGCACGTCTACCCGGGTCGACGCCCTCGCCCGGCCCAACCATAAACGGTGAATCTTGGCCGGAAACCCATTTCAGATCAATGCCAACTGAGAACCCCTTCTCGCCTGATCCGGAGAAAACAATCGCACGAACAGATGGGTCTGTGGAGAGATTGTCGAAGACGGTTCGCATCTCGCGCCATCCACTGCGATATTTCAGTTTCCGGTATGGGGATTAAGGTGACATCGTTTGCTTACTCTTCCAAAAAGGCGTTCACTTGGCCCGGGCGATTGATCTCAACGTGGGCGATCCATGGTTCTGGAATAGTGACCCGGAAATATTTATAGTCTTGGTTCGACATGTTGGGGGTGGAATGTCCAGGGAAATATCCGTGGGGTGAGCAGGCTATTATATACTAAGTTAATTCACGACTTTAGCCTGTGCTGATTTACTCAAGTAGGCGAATCTCGGTTGGTGGTATGATGTAGCGGCTGAGGGTGTGCAGGGAACATATGAAGCCGTCATGATTACTTTGATCGGAGAAGTGATGCGCCGTCCATTGCGGGATTCCCCCACAAACTCCACTCCAGCAGGGTTGAGACACTAAACTATGGGGTAGTTTATGACAATGTCACATTTCCTGGTTTTATTTCTTCTCCATATAGCTTGGCCGTATCCTGAACCTCGGCTGCTAGCTGGATGGGGCTTGTTCAGTCGTGCCGGTTGTTTATTAATCATAATCATCCAGCCCGGAACAATGCCAGATCATACTAATCTTACCTCCGAGGCAGCGCGATCACATTTCCCCATGTTGGAGCCAGGTTTGGATATCTGTTGTTATATAGAAGAGCGTTGCGTGTGTTTTATGTTGGATTATATATATGTCATTGAACAGGCACCTTCTTAAGTTACCATTTTTCATTTGCGAGGCATTGTAAATCGTCATATAACAGACTATATATTCCATATCTGAGATACATGATCTAATTCTCTTGACGCTGAAGAAACTATACTACATCCTATATTCATCCTAAGTTAAGGACATAATGCCTTTCAACACAGCACTCACCAGAGCCCTGGGAATCCAGAGTAAGACTTTCAATACCACCGATTCCATACAACCAGAAGCTAATAACCTCAGTCCCCGTCGTGCAAGGAGGGATGCACTGGGTAGGGTACGCCAAACTTGCCGCCGCAGTCAGCAACGCAGGCGGACTTGGCCTAGTCAGTATAACCTCCTATCCACAATGACCAACATCCCAGACTAACATAGCACTACATGTCACTGCCCTCACCCAACCGACCCCGGAGGATCTGCGCAAGGAAATCCGGAAATGTCGATCGCTGACCAACAAGCCATTCGGCGTGAACATCACTCTGCTGCCCTCGCTCATGCCCCCGGACTACGGCGCCTACGTGCAGGCCATCATCGACGAAGGAGTCAAAATCGTCGAAACGGCCGGTAATAACCCCGGGCTGGTGATTAAACCACTCAAGGAGGCCAATATCATCGTGATACATAAATGCACGACCATCCGGCATGCGAAGAACGCTGTCAAACTCGGCGCGGATTTCTTGTCGATTGATGGGTTTGAATGCGGTGGCCATGTTGGAGAGGACGATCTTACAAATTTCATCCTCCTTAGTCGGGCGCGCCAGGCGCTGGGCGTGCCCTTCATTGCGTCTGGGGGTTTCGCGGACGGACATGGTCTGGCTGCTGCGTTGGCGCTGGGGGCGGAGGGTATCAATATGGGGACGCGGTTTATGTGTACGGTGGAAGCGCCTATTCATATCAAGGTGAAGGAGGCGATCGTGGCCGCGCAGGAGACGGATACGGCGTTGGTGATGAGGCGGTGGAAGAATACGACGCGCTTGTATGCGAATAAGGTGGCGAAGGAGGCCCTGAAGGTGGAAAGGGAGAGTACGACCGGGAAGTTTGAAGAGATTGCACCGCTTGTGAGTGGGAAGCGTGGACAGCAGGTGTTCATCCAGGGGGATGTGGACTCTGGGGTAAGTTCTTACATATACCCAGCTGTGGGATATCCGAGCTAACTATTGCATAGGTATGGACTGCTGGTCAGGTCATTGGACTGATCCATGATATACCTACGTGTGCTGATCTCTTGGTGCGCATTGAGCGGGAAGCTCTGACTTCCATGAAGAGGACTGGATCGATGTGGGTTGATGAGTCCTATACCAGTAGACTTTAGAACACTCCTGGGATATATGGTACTATGTAGGTATTATCGCATGAATAGATCTGCTGCAGAAGAAGCGGTCTGAAGTGACTCTGGCCAACATGGCCAGTATGTGATATTTTAATTTTCGGTAACATCTAAATTTGGGTGCCATTCCATGCAAAAGCCAGGCTTGATATAACACCGGGAAGGTGGTGTTGGCTTTCAAATCCTGAGACTAATGCTGGCTAGACAATGCAGTGCTCGAGATCTACCGATAGGGGAAATACCTAGATCTCAAGCTCCTGGATATAATCAAACAGCCGTGATGTGATGACAGTCATTTTGTGACCATGTTCCCAAAAA